CAAGTCGGCGAGTTTCTGTTATGTTGGACCAAGTGGTTCAGATACCATGTCGAGGATTCATGCTTTCCAATTTGTCATGACATCTCTTCAGGTAAATTACCCTCGGAAAGATACATTTGGATGATAATGCAGTGTTCACCTTTCTCGTTGTGGCCCTTGTAAATTTAATTTACCGAGTCGAATGTAAGAAGGATGAGTATACTGCTCAAAGCACAGTATAGGACAAATCCTCGGTGGCAACTGCCATGATAGTTCTTCTTGAACGTGACTTAAGTCTAACAAGGTTAGATGATAGGCTTTTTATTAGAAATTAGCTATCAAGGAATATTCGTCTGCGTTGAATGATTTGACCCAAATTTACAGAATATTTGCAGTTTGAAATTAGCTCTGTCACTGCAATAATGAGGAAAACTTCAAATTAAGTAATGAATCAATCTCTTCAATGTCTAATTTCGTCGAACTCTTTCCGATTGAGGTGGCATCAGTTGCTTTCAGCAATGCAGAAATTGTTGATATTACATTTTTGACTGCTGGCATCAAAATGATTGTCTGAATCTAGCCTGGTTTCACACAAAGACTACTACATTTGTGAACTTCAAATAGACATAATGCTGCCCAAGGCCACGAACAGAACATTAAATTTGTTGGGATGAAAATCTTATTCAAAACTGAACTGGTATAAAAAGGAGCGCTTACAACAGATATTGTGCCAGGGAATTCTCTTCCAAGGTACTCTGTAGATGTGGTAAAATAAAATGCCAGAACGAGGGTCGTAAGATGTTAAAAAAGGCGTTAACTATGAAGGCAGTGTACTGTTTCTCAAATTGCTTCCTGAGTTTATCATCACCTAACATAGATCTTTTTTTTTTTCACCGTGATCTCAATGAAAATCTTAGAGACTAACGTTGAAAATGTATGAGTTCTTAGGGCTAAAAACAAATTGGAAAATTATGTTCCCTGAATTGAGGTTTGTTTCTTAATTTGCCTCCAACTAATAGAAAGCTTGATTTCATTCTAACAGTATTCGAACAGTAAGATCAAAAGTTGAGTTTTGCCTCTCTAATTGCTTCAACAGTAGTTCATCAGCTCGGTGTATTACAGTACTTCAGCCCATTGTTTTCTAATTTGAGTACTTGAGGCTGAAAGCAATCCAAAGAGTAAAAAATTGATATTTTTCTCTTTAATTTTGTTTATAGGCAACTCGGATCGAACTTTTCTGAACGTGATTCAATGAAAATTTCGGAGATTCCTGAACTCGTAAGACCGAGACCAAATCTAAAAAAAATAGGCTCCAAAATTTGACGTTTGTATTTCAAGGTTCTTCAACAGTTTATCATCAACCGATGAAAAAATTGTTGGACGTGATTCTAGAAACATCGTAGAGTCCAATTATCAACTGTTTGAACTCTTGAGGCTGGAAAAAAATTGTAAGAGCATGCTTTAAAATTTAATATGTCTCCATTTGTGGAATTCATTCTTAAATCTCAAAGTGGTTTTTAATTTCTTATAGGGAACATCGTGGATGGGGAAAAAGGAGAGTACCATTTGCACGTAGAAATAAAAGATTCTATTCAAGTGTACACATTGGTTTGGGGATCCAGTTTATATGTAAGTTATATTCATTATGCACTTTTTAGTCTATTCCTGTGTTGAATATTTTGAATCCGACTTAATTTGTTCGTGAAAAAACGTAAAATGGTTTCCGTGTTTACATAGCCTGATGTAAACACACGGGAGGTTGGGAGAACACGAGATAAGCGTAAGAAACCACGACGCGAAGCGGAGTGGTTTCTAGCTTATCGAGTGTTCTCCCAACCTACCAAGTGTTTACATCAGGCTATGTAAACACGGAAACCATTTTACATTTCTTTTATGAAATAACTGATGAAAGAGGAACGAAAACCGTGTTTACATACGCTCATGTAAAATGGTTTTATGGCCAATCAGAGCGCGCGTACTATTTGAATTATTTTATAATTGTACTTATTCACCCCAGCACAGAAACTGTAAAGTATTTACTGCCACCTTAATCCAAATCTCGGTGACTCAGTAGCAAATGGCTTTGCTTAACCTTTTCACTCCCATTCTTGGATTGTCTATTCTCCCCTCTAGCTGCTACACATTTCCTTGTAAATTAGTTATGAGAATTTGGTGTGAGATCAAGACAACAATTTTAACCTGATACTTTTGAGTTTTCTCTTTACTTATTTTCTGAATTATGGATGGATATTATAGGGAGAAGATACATGTTAATCACTTCTGGGAGTTAGAGGGTTAACACTGGTAGAACAACAAAGAAAAATAGTCTTAAGTTTAATGATTGAAAGATGTTCACTGGGAACGAAGTTATGAAATTTACAGGTTGATTTCATAACTTTTAGCAAAGCCATTCATTAGAGAATAATTACGCCAAATTACTCTGTTAGTAAAATCTGTTCAAATGTGGCGAATTTTCCCGCCAAAATACGCATGCACCAATTTTTAAAAAATTAAGTCCAAGTATATCATACTTCGCTAATAAACTATTTATTTGTTTTCTTTCTTGATTATTCACATCTACTATTTGAAAGTCAATAAAGTCATCAGTTTTTGTGTCATCTTTTATTGACACTCAATAAACACCAAAAGTTTCATATTCAAAAAAATTCTTTTGTTTTTGTCTGTAAGCTAATTAATTAACTAATTTTAAATTAAATTGATAAAAAGGTGCCAAGAAAAACTTTTCCTGTATATACTTAAGACTTTTGGCGGGAAATTTGGACCAATTTTGACATTTGAATTTCCCTTGGCGACTCTTTTTGGCAAAAATTAACAAGACTTCCCTGAATATTTCCCGCCAAAAAATAATCCGACAGCAACTCGTGCAAAAAGCATTGAAAAGTAATCGCCAATTTCTTTTTCACTCATAATAAAAGTCAAAAACACTCTAAAAAATTCCGTTTCGTTTGTTTCAAAATAATTTCTGACTAAAAACATTTTTTATACTTAAATTTTTTTGCACAAGATGATGTATGGAAGGTTCCTAATGAAAAAGCAGCGCAGCAAACTATAGAGTATCCAATCAGAATATTAAATTTATCCCCAAATTGTGATCAATTTGTTCAATTTAAAGTTTGTTTTTTAACCAATCATTTTTTTATAGGCTTCTAGCCTGCCATGTCTTTTTCGAAGTAAAAGATCTTAAAGCCGCCAGTCTCAAATGTATCACAGGATTCATCGAAATATTTTTATAAGACATTGAGCTATGTTTCTGAATTCAAAAGACCAGTCATAATGTTCTCATAGTGTGGGAAATCTTGTTTAAATCAGAAATACACTCTACCTACTTCACTTGGCTTTTTTTAATGACTCACTTTCAAAAAAGTTTGTCAAGTTTGATAGTACCCAGGACCACAAGAGCCGAGTGGTTCACCAGGAGTAACGGATGTAATATAAGATTTCAGTGTGGTACAAATTCTTGCTTCGTTTGTGCAAACAAAATACTTCGCTTTTTGAATAAAAGTTGCTAAACTTCCATTTTAACACAGTTGATACCGACTGATGAATTTTCAATTGAAACAATTGTATGTTTTTGGTCAACGTTTTCACCTGTTATCATTCAGTTGTCAACTTTAAAGTATGATCGCGCGGGTGAAAGTGTTCCCGAAAAGGTTTGTTGTCGGGAACAGTAGAATGGCCTGAGCAGAAGTCAACAGAGCCGTGTGAACAATTGTTTACAAAGTCCAATGTTACAACTTTGGTTTTTGAAAGTGATTTGTCAGTTTTGCAGTAAGGTGATTATCAGACTCAAATGGCCATCGTCCATTGATTAGTCAGTTTTGATCAGTCGGTAAGGTTGGTTTGTTTTCTTTGGTCCGTTGGTGAATAGTTATTATTTTTTTTGCAAGTCGTTTGTAAGATGCCAAGCTGTTGTCATCTTAGTTGTGATGAGCCTTCTCTAAGTTATTAAACTAGCTCTTCAAAGTCAGTGTTTGAAGATGGCGTGAGTCGAAGTTACTCAGCAATGTTTTTTTTGACGTAAAGAAAATCAATCTAATTAAAAGATTTCAACTTTGAATTTCATTTGGTCTTTGCCGACGAAGTATTTTTTCAGTGCCACCTTAATATCACCTTTGTTAGACATCAACTAAGATATAACTGAATTCAATACTAGGAATACTATGCATGTGTCCAGTAAATACTCTGACACACGAAAAGATCTAATTTAAGACTGGTATCATTGAAGGGAATAGATCTCTGTAATGAATAGTGAAATATTTGAGGTCTCATTTTGAAATTGCTCGAATAAATGAATAATTGATCGTTATTTCCTTACGATGGGAGGGTAACAAAAGAACACAAAGATGACGATGACGCACTGTAATTTACCGGTGAAGGAAAAAAAGCGTGATATTAGTGCATTAACACTCTCTCATGAAGGGAAAAACAAGTTGAAAATACGCAAAATGAATAAAAAGTGCTGATTCTATCACACAAGGAGAAATAAACTTGGGCTTTGAGTTATTTATTATTAATTAAGTGACCAACCTCACGGTGCAACGAGCTACAGTAGTCGTAAGAGTAGGTAAACTGAATTTAGAATGTTGTGGCATATTTGTCGGCGAAACATGACTAAACGAAAGTGACCACCATATTTGAAAACCGTTAAAACAAATAAAAATTATTTCTATATTGTAACGTATAAGAAAAAGAAAATCTGTTCAATTGTAGTAAATTTCACTTCACTAGGAAAACGTCGTTGTTATCCTATCCTGAAAGTTTTAATGTATGCGGAAGACATTCATTACTTGCTCCAATTACCGATTTTTTTTCACAAGTTTGAGCTGTGATAGACGAAATTTGTCAGTTTATTCAAGCGTTAAGCACTGTAAACATTTGGCCTTCCCCGCCCCTTCCCTCACTTCCCACAAAGAAAAAGTTGAAAGTAGTGTAAATAAGGAGTTTATTAACTACGGAAGGATCCTTTTACAAATTACACGAAACAAAACGTTTCAGCTTTTTTACGCGTCGTAATTCGTCTGATAAAATTGGACGATAGCTTTAGCAAAAGCATTTTTCAAAGCATCATCACCATTCCACTTGTAACGAACCCCTATCGGCAGTTCCAGCTGAATGGCGTCAATTTTCCCTCCATATCTTGATCCGTAGCGCCTGGTCGTATATCCGCCATAGAAAAATTTTTCCCCCTCTGGGTCCTCGTCAAGTGGTGAGGGTACAGCATCCAGTCCTTCTTGATTCATAAAATATCCAAGACCTCGATTTCCTTGGACGAAATCTTGAAAGCAAGTGTTGTTGCCTTTACCACACCAGTATTCCCCAAGGCTTCTGATGGAAGTGTACTTCATGTTGTAGGATTTGCGCACGAGCCGGAGTTTGGAAATGAGATATCCCAGCTCCGTCCTCTCAGGTTGATGTGTTTGGCCGTGGATGTCTAAGAGAAAGCCACGCCCTGGAATGGCCAATTTTGCTTGGCTGATAAAATTGGTGTAGTCGTTATAGGCTGTAATTGCGTCTGGGATATTCAAAGTTGCTTCATTGATTTCTCTGTTGGCATCCAGTTTTGATCTCCTCAGCAAGTTGTACACAACATGTGGCTGAGTACCTATTGAAACGATTCGCAAACAGTCACTAAGAAATGAACGTTTATAAGGAAAGGAAATTGAATAAATATTTCTTGTGGCTTGAGTCACGGATCCTTCGTATAATTTTTCTTTATATAGATAGAATGGACCAAAAGAACTTCTTCTCTTAAGTGCATGTAAAGATGGTTTTAAGAAATTCTGTGCTCGAGTCAAAAAACCCATCCAGTCGCAGCTTATCGACTTAGAATCCAGCACACTGACCGCAAAGCCACCGCGCCTCCCACAGTCAAATCGACAAATGTTTAACAACAAAAATTAATGAAAAAAAGTATGGAAAAACATAAGATCGCCAATAAAGTACGCAAAAAGGCTGTTTTAACAGCCTCAGACGTTGTTAAAACGTTTGGTCGTTTGTTCTGCTGTAAAACGAATCAACTTGACCACTAAGTACAAAAACTGACTGCATGTTTTGCCTCCAGTGTGACATGCAGCACCTTGAGCACAAGACCGCCTTTTTCTGTCATCGGTTATTTATTCATTAAATCTCTAAACCAGAGTAGCATCAAGCCATGTTTGATTATCCAGCTGGTTGCCATATGAATTTTGATAAAATTTTCCATGAGTTTACCAGTACAATAAACGATAGGTGTTTGATCAATCGGGATTATTCCGTTTAACTAAAAGCGCAGAACAAATTTTGACTTTCTTCCACCTGTTATGTCTCTGATTGTATCTGCAAGGTCTCCAGCGATCTCACCACTGGTGTGTACGAACCTCTGAATGCTTTAGTGGCACACTCTGTAGTGGTGGGAGAGCATGAGTGTGTATAGCTACATTTTCAAGGGGTAGAGGCACCCGTAATAAGATGTTGTTTCTTTTTCTAATGCATAATAAATGCATCTGAGCACTGAACGATTGTAACCATCATCTAATACGCGCAGAAGACGTTAACCTGATACTCACACATTCCATCTTAGAAAAAAGTGCATCGTTTCATTTGAATTATTATTTAATATCTGTCCATTACCTGTAATTTCCTTGATTTTGTCTGCAAGATCTTGAGCAATTTCTTTGGTGTTTCTATCTCTCAATGTTCTGGTGGGGCAATCTCTATTAGCTGAAGAGCATGAGTGAGTATAGATACAGTTCTCGAATTCATCTTTACAGCCATTCTTCCTATCTGGCCAGTCGTCACCATTAGCCTGACGTAAGGGAGTCAGCCTCCCCCCGTGAGAAGCGGTTATGATGATATTCATGTCACCAGGTTCATATTTGGTATAACCGTGGGAACCGAACCTCGTTTGTCCAAGGACACTAGGCACAAAGATGCCACAGAAGAGCAAGTGATACACGTTCATAATCTGCAAGATATTTAAACAAAGTTCATCACGTACCAGTTAAACCATTTTTTATCGTTTCAATCGTCTAAAGAACCCTACAGAGTATATATCATTGAGATGAAACGTGTCATGATTTTCAGGCGGGCCCGAATTGTTTGTAAAAGCTTGTACAGCCAAAAGGTCCCTATAACGGAAAACCTATATCGATCAAAAACCTGAGTTTACATCATTTACGATTTCAATGCTCTTTACAGCTTCGAACTTGAACTACAGCAGACTAACACTTAAATCTCAGTCAAATTATTAAAGGGGGGCTTTTAAAACTCAGAAGACGCTGAGATATTTAAGGTTGAAGTTCATTACATGCAAACAAAAATTGTACAAGAAAAGTAAGCTAGGGTAATGCTTACGATACTGTTACTCCCTTGCAACTCACTTTGACTTCCTGTCGATGCTCTGCAATCGATTGGCTGACTGACCACCTCTTAACTGATCGGGACGGAATTCAACCGAGCCAGAATGGTCAACGAAATGATTAGAAGCATATTTATAGTCTTTTGGTAAACGGTATCCTCGATGCTTCGTGACTTCTTTAATTTGTATTTCCTGACAACTAGTATCGAATTTAAGAGGCATCAAGGGCCACAAGTGGTTCATCAAAAGATTAATTTGCACTTTTTTATAATATTGGAAATCATTTCGTAGTTAAGTGTATTCTGCAGGCGTCACTTAGTTTTTTTCCTAGCAATCACGTACGAATTAAGCAGCATCCAGGAAAAACAGTAGTTCATGAAGAGAAGTATTTACATTTTTCCTTTGTATCGGAATCTTTTGCTCATTACTCATAAGTGCGCCCTGCATGCGTCATTTCGTTTTTTCCTGACAAATACAAAGGAATTTAACAGTATCTAGGACGACCAGTAATTAATGATTTACCTTTGTCCTCGGTATCGGAAATTTGGTTTTAGTACTAAATGCACTCTTAGTGCTTCGATTGTTTTTTCTTTTTCTAACAACATACAGTTTTAGTTTATTAGTTTGCTACAAATATACAAAAAGAATAATTCTCTTGTACAATATCAGCAAGGCAAGGTATCCCAAGGAACCCAAAAAGGGCTGATTTGAAGGTCTATCTTTACAAAACACTACGATACAATACTGGAAACGTTTTTATTTACATCCAAGTCAATAAGAAATTCAATAAAAGACGAATTTACAGTCCTCCATAGTTCATGCGAATATTTTTTCATGGCATGCTTCATTAGCTGTTATTGACACTTTCAGTAGATTTCTTTTCTTACGCCCTCTTCAAACAAAGGAGACAAGTGAAGTGGCAGAACATCTTTTAGACATTTACATTGAGCACGCCCTCCAGAAATTTTGCAAAGCGACCAAGGTCCGGAATTTAAGGGAGTAGTTAGGACTGTTTGTGAAACGTTAAACGTTCGCATAATTAAAAGCTCTGCCTACAGTCCCCAGACGCAAGGAAAAGACGAGCGCTCACACAGAACGTGGAAGGAGAAAATAAAGTTTGATTTAATCAACAACAACAACGGTGATCTCAACTGGGTGGAGTATCTTCAACAGTACCAGCAACTCTATAATGAATCGCCACATCGTTCTCTTGGATTCCTTTCTCCATTCGAAGTGTACTTCGGTAGAAAGCCGAACAGATATCGAAAGAAACTGTTTCTTGGGGGAAAGAAGGAATATGAAGTTCCGGAAGAAAACGACAACAGTTTTCAAATGGATAAGCACAAGAGAGAAGAACTAACAGAGTTAGAGAGGGAACGAGATTCTATGAGGCAGAAAGCTCTGGATGCGTCTTATGACGCAGCACAGTATATGATAAAGCGGGAGTTAAAGCGAAATCCACCTTCACTCTATAACAAGGAAGAAACAGTTTTGCTTCGAATCCCTGTATAAAAGAAATTAGTCAAGGGAAAGAAAAACTCGCTAAAGAGCACCTGTGAGGGGTTTATCCATGAGGCCGACCATTCCGTGCACAAGTACTTTATCAGCTATAATGATCCAGTGACACTTATGAGCAAAAAAGGCTGGTTGAAAGTAGATGATGTTACGTCACTAACAAAAGAGGAAGAAAATGACAGACAGCAACGAGTATAGATTGCCAGCGGCAAACGAAATGCCAGGCGTACGGACC